GGATCCCTTGTGCTTATTTCGATGATTATCCATTTGCACGGCGAGATTATCAATATTCCTACAACCGAAGGGCCAGCAGGCATGTCCTAATGCGAGTCCCGTGAGCAGCACAAGCAGCATTGAACAGTATTTGAGCGAATCCGAATTTAATGATCTTATATTTGCGCCGTTGTCATTTGAAACACATCATCTTAGTCGCGGCTAACGCAGGAAATACGATTGCAGTGTAGGAGGACCCTGTCGAATTATTATGCCATCGCTAAAGATAAGTTCGAAACAGAAAAAGGTTGAAGGTTTTTGTTGTGCTTTAAATAGCTCCCTTAGATAGTTCCGAAAACGAATGCTTTTTTGTTTCAGAATTTTGCAAAATAAGTGAAGATAAGTGTAAGACGTTCCACACACAGTTGTAGTAGTAGTGATGTGTCATGTCTTAATAGTAGCTCAGGTTCTGGCCAAATGCAGTATATTTGGAAGGAGCGACAAACGCTTTGACTTCTCCGATACCTCGTCCCACTTCACGCTTATATACACGTTGAATTGTTGATCACTGGAGGACGCACAATTGTGAAATGCATGCCGCAGTTGGATGGGTTTGATTGTATTAGCAGCACAAAAGCAACCATCGACTCCCATGCACAAATGCACACACGCAGCTGGATTGCCTAAGATGCAACAGTCAGGCTAAGTGCTTCCACGAAGCTTTTGATGTCTTATTTTGTACTTGGAAGTAATTACCACGACTGTTCCAGTACAGACGGCATGTGTCTGCTATTTGTTGATGCTTTGATATACCATTCCTGTCATGCCCTGTCGATCGTAACCGCTTTGCTTAATCTACAAGGGGTTGAACTTTTTCAAATCCTAAACTAATTTAGCGTTACTCTTTTCCTTTTTTTTGGCAACTTGGAAGGGCCTCTGGTATGAGACTTACCAAATGATGCTGGAGAAGTGTCTGTGTACGTGTGTGTTTTGCATATTAAAGTAGTACTTAGGTTTGTTCGGTTACTGATTCAATTAAGGCATGCGCGAACCAGTAATGTACACATATGGAAGAGATATTGTGTGTAACACATGCACTAA